CAGTTACAGAGGCCCCACTCCAAAACGCGATTTCCTCGCCGACTGGGTTTCCCAAAACGACGACGTCGTCCGCTCCCTCCCAATCTATGTCGGCTCGGCTTCCCTCTTCGCCGTCCTCCTCAACCGCGCCCTCTCCGGCATCGCCCCCGTCGCCGACGCCGGCAGGTACATCTCTTCTTTCTATTCTTAGCTCAACCAGAACACCTAGATTGAGGCTTGTTATTACTACGCCTTGTTTGAATCTGTTGTTTTCAAAATCAGTTTGGTTGTTACGAGTGATTGCATTTGCAGTTCGCAGTCCAGAGCTGACCTCTTGACTTTGGGATTGGCGGTTACCAATATTTTGACTGGCCTCGTTTGGCTTTCAATAAAACCTAAGTCTATAACTGTGGTGAGCTTCATTCTCCTCTTTGCGTCTCATTTTTTTATTTCAAACGTGTTTTTAGTTGTCTGGATTCTTTGTCCAGGTAAATCCTCGAGGAGTTGAATGCAAGAGATTTTGCACTACACTTCCTGAAGTTGCACTTAATGAGTTGCTTTGGTAGGTGCATTCAGTTACTAAATCAGGTCATGTAAATTATTTTTTAATTCATGAGAATTCAACAAATATATCGCGAGGTTTACTATAAGTCTACTACTCATACACTGTCCGGTTTACTGAGATATCATATTAGCTGTACAATTCTTATCCAATTGTTCCAGTCAGTTAACTTTGTGAATGTGTAAAATGGTACCGCAGGGAAACCGGATCCTTGGCTTAGGTTTGATCAGGAGCTTTCAGAAAATAATAAATTTTAATGCAATCTGACATTTTATTTAATTTAATGGAAGAAAAATTCATAGTGATAACGGAAGGTGCTGCTTTAATAGTGTTACCTCCTGTTTATTGATAGTATCTTTAATAATCTGTTCTCAGGGTGTGGGAATCTCTGTCAGATGCCACTTGTTGTCGTTCGCTCGTTGTTGTTTATGAGAGATCTTGTGTACTCCAAATAGGTTTTGCTGCAGATTCTTCTGCTGGGAATGGTGAGGCTGTAAGTGTGGATGCCAATAAATTGATGCAAGGATCAGTATACGAGGGAGTTATGAAATCTGGTGCTCGTAAGTTTTGAACTATATGTGTTATCTATCACAGTTGTTGCTACTCAAATACAGTACTTTTCATTAAGTGAAGATGTGCCCTGGTATTTATTGAATTTTCTTTTCTTTTCACATGTTCAGAGAGTTACTTGGCAAATTTATCTCTTTATCCTGGAAAATCTGAGCTGCCATTTCTACCTTTAAATACTCAGGTATTGTTTTTGTATGTATTAAACTTGTCCAGTTAACTAATTCGACGTGTCTATGTTATGCAATATTACTGTGTCCTCTAACTAGTTTCTCTGGGATGTCTTTCAAAAATCATGTTGAAGCACAAGCTTTTGTCTAGAAAGAGAGAAAAATGGGGTGTGTTAGTATAATGGGTACAAGTGTTAGTCTTGAACCTAGCTTTTTGTCCAATTAATTCTGGGAGTCGATAGCTTGAATGACTTTTAATAACTGAAATAATAAATAATAACAAACTAACTGAAAGATAAACTGAAAGATAAAAGATATAATATTTCTAACAGATATTGCAAAATATCTAGTATTTGATGTGATATGCACATTCCGCGTTGGAACGTTGCAACTCCAACTTTCGTGCTTCCAACAAAATCGGTGCTGCCAACGGTTTCTTTTTATTGTGCAACGTTCATATTTTTGCTGCAAGTTTTCGTAGTCAAAACCACTCCCGCAGGGATTTTCTCTCAGGTTTCACTGAAACCGCAAGACACGGGATTTTTTCCCGTTGGCTTCGGGCCTTGGGCCAATCTTCGTTGGTTTCCCACTCTATTTAGAGTGGTTTTGTTCATTCCAAACAGACATTCTCTTCTTATCCTTTTGTTTTCTCTCCTTTCTTTTATTTCTTAAAATTATTCTAGTTTATTTTTAGAGATTCTTACTAGTTTTGAGATTCTTAGAAATTCTGAGTAGTTTCGGAAAATCCTTTGTTCATTGTAAGCTTTTACAACAACTAATTGGTCCTTTCACGTATTTTTATTTAACTCCGTTAATGGCATTTCATATAGAAATGCGTTAAAAATAATGGTGATCCAATCTTTATGGAGAACCAAACTACCAAAGGCATTGCTCTACCTTATTTCCAAAAGTAAGAGAACCTATTGGTATTTTGGCTTTATTTCTGACTTTGTTATTCATTTCTTATTATTGTGTCCACATAATATACAGTAGAAAACAAAGCACTCAGGATTCTTATTATATTTGTGTGAATTTGTGGTCAAAAGCTCATCACATGCGTAGTAGACATTGTCTGCATTGTTTAGGTTTAAGTAAGTTCATTAACGTTTGACTACCACTTTGGAACCAGCTTCTATTAAGCATATACGTATACTTCCTGCAATATTATTCAATCAACTTGATAAAATGGTAGATGCAAAAATGGCCATTACAGTTTATTGGCTGCGTAAAATTTACAAACACATACAAGGTACCAGTTATGAGCACGGAAGCCGGACACAATGGTACATTAACATTGCGACACCTATAATTTAAAAAATATGGGATATATATACATACACACACATTGAACATGATTATTAATTATTTAAATTGATCATCAAAATTATATTAAAAATCATCTATCAAAAAGTTAACCAAGTATAACATTTCATCTAAAAACATTTAAAGAGAGAAGGGAAAACACAAAAGGTAAATATGAAATAAAGGGTCTGTTTCTTCAAAGGAGAAATGGAAACTTAGATAATAATTTTCTTACTTCCGACTTAAGAAAATCAGCGTATCTGTCCTCATGAACGCTGTGTTTCATGATGTCTGAGCCGAAAAAAGTCTTTTAAATTGGACACCCTAGTGAAGTGTGACACATGTTGGATACGGAGACAGAACATTGAGGAACCATGTCCAAGGCTCATAAGTGCCAATTATAACTTGTAAGAAGAATCCAAACATGCTGCAGTACCAAATTTCACACTACAGCATATTTGCATCAAAAATGAAATTTTACAGTAGCGAAAAATGAACCTGGTGACTTGAGAATGAAAATATGAGAAAGGATGCTGAAGAGATAATTATCTCTCAGCTGATTCGTGTATGTGTTTGAGTTCTTACATTAGAGATACAAAGGGAAAATATAAAAATCCTAAATGTAGGTGACAGATGGGTAACGCATAAAACGGTTTTATAGCTTTCCACTTACAAGCTAAACTATTCTAGCAAATATAACTATAACTTTGTAAAACCAAGTTCTTTGTGGCTAAATCATTAAATCAAACAATTTATTCAATTTGCACTATAGTAATGGCATTAGCATAGAAGAAAAAACTTTGGACGAGGTATATCAAGGTTAAAACATTAAATATATTCCCTATGACTATGTATTAATGGAAAAGGGTGAAATGGAATGACAATGTTCTGTTCTGTTTGGTGTTATAGCAGCAGGAATCAACTTAATCTTTAGTAAAATTTCTTACCCGTCTGTTCTATTTGCAAACCCAGAATAGAACCTGAAATTTCAAAAAGTGAGCTGAGAAAATATAAAAGAGAGAAATTCGAAGATTGCCTTTAAACATTGAACTGATTTGAAAATTGAGAAAAAAGTGACAATTTTACTTCTAAGTGTTTCCCTTTTTAAATCAGCTAATGTTAGTTCTCCAGTACTAGTAATTTTGAATGAATCTTCTATTTCTTTATCATCTCACTTTTTAAACTTTATCACTTCTATTAAGTACTACTAAGATCCTAATAAGTAACAAAAGTATTGGACCGAGCTTGAATAACAAGTTAAGAGTCACATTCAATTGAAAGGTTTGACCATCCTTTGGAGATTGCAACTTCAATAGCCAGAATCACACTCATCACCTCAACATATAAAACATTATGAAGAGAAACAACCCATAATGGAACTGTGACGATGTCTAAAGATACCCCTACAACCCTATACACTATGAGAACCTTTGATCGCGCCATTAGTATTGCATTTAAACCAATGAGAAGTAACAAGAGGAAACCAAAAAACAAGAACATAAGACACCACCTGCCTAGGATGTATTTTTATTTCAAAACTTCTAAGAATAATGAGCTCTTGCGCGTTGGACTTCATACAACGAGCACAAACTAAAATAAAATTTCTTTGACATAATTTACTATTTGTCTTATTCAAAATAATTAAAACTGCTTTGACATCATCTATGGCAAGTGCCCAACAATACTTAATAAACTACACGTTTCAACATCTCCCAACTAGACAAATATTCACGTTGGTTCTCCATTACTTTTCTCTTCATTGTCTTTTATCTCAATTCATAAGAAGCATATGCATATGCATTGCACCAATGGGAAGAGAAAGAATTAAGATTGGTAATTTTAACTGATAATGCTGAAATAATGATTGCTGAAGTTCATGAAGATAATATGGAGAAAGCTTTTCCCTACTATGGTAGAACGACCTATGCAAGTAAACGGTCTATATAGGGCCTCCAATTATTGAGGTCTACTAGGTTTTATAGTTTCACAAATTTACTCCAGTCTTTTATTTATTTTTGTCTTCCAAATATGTTGACTTGACTCTCCACATTTGACATTATTGGTTTCCCAAAACTTAGGGCTGATGGACCTAATTTTCGTGATTAGAATAGAGTTTCCAAAAATTTTAAGATAGTCTTGTCAATCTTGGGGACATTGCTGATTTTGCAGCAAGTGGTGATGACGGGAATTGATAAAAACTATCGTGAGCAGTCATATCTATAGGATACATGTGTGATAAAAGCTCGTGCAGTAATGTATCACTTTAATACAGAGAATAACTCGTATTGCATTATATATTAGAATCAGAAACAGCTTTGATATGTTTTCCATAGTACATAACTGATGGAAGTATGTATTGGGTATATATTATAGTAAGATGTGCTGGGAGACGGCATTGCTGTGTACAGTTTGTGGACAAAGGATATAACCTTGTAAGAGCCTTTTGTCTGTCTGTGGCTATATTCCGTGTTATTTTTTGTTCAGCGTATATTTGATTGCTTTATCTATAGGTGTTCTATCAGTGTACTTTTTCGCAGCCCAAATTCTGACTGACATGCATGTGAAAGATCATATAATTTATCTATGTTCAAATCAGTTACGGTGAAACATATGATCCCTTTCCTCAAACCTTGATAAAACTCTATTTATGAACATTTTTATGTTTATATAGGTCTTCTCCTTACCCCCTGTTTTTCCAGGGGGAGACGGGTACTATTGGGTCTATACCAACTGACCTCCTTTGTTATCAATGACTTTTTGTTGATTTCGTTAATATCTACCGTCTAATAGCAAAAGTTGCTCATTCGATCGTTATTATTTTGTTAGGCAGTAATTTTACAGCCACTTGGAGATAAAGGAATTGCAATTATCGGTGGTGACACGATACGAGGTTACACTGCTTCTGATCAGGTACATTTCAACCCTTTTTTTCATGTGATGCCCAAATTTATCGAAAGGATTGGATCCTATGGCATGTGAAATTAGATTGGGATCCTCTGTTTTCCGAAATATCATTTCAACCCTATTTAAGGTTTCGAATTTCAGTACAGACATGACACTAGACAGTAGTACAAGTACATTTGTAGGTCCTGCATATTGTTTCTTATTCTTTTGGACTCAGTGAGATGCACGTTTGTAGGTTAGTAGGTCCTGCATATTGTTTCTTATTCTTTAAAGTCAGTGAGATGCACGTATGTAGGTTAGTGGCATGATATTCAAATTATTACAGGCATGGATCACTTACATTGGAGAGAAGCTGGATTCTACCCTTGCAAAATATGTGAAGCATCACCCTCTGACTTCTCAAGATTAAGTTTAAGAGATTTGCGAGGTGGCCTCTCGTTCATGTTTTTACTTGATTTTAATGGAAATAAACCCTCGACCTTTTGCCGAGATTTTTAGGATAAGAGGCTCATATTGGTCGCATGTATATGTTATCCATTTTTCAAGGCAGTGCTCAGATTATTAGTCAGACTAATTGTATACATAAGCTCATTTCAGAGATTTTCATTTGTAAACATACAACGCCACAGTCTTCCATGTCCTTCCTTTCAGAGATATATAATTAATTCTGTTGTGGCTTGACCACAACCTTTTTTCCATTTTGTTAGCTGATTTTCTATTTATAGCTTACAGTCGTAGAGAATAAAAAATTTAACATTGACTTGCTGTTTATCATTACTAAAACTTCTATTGGGACAAGTTTGATTGGTTACGAC